ACTGCCACTGGTTAGATTGACCTGTTTCCAGTTAAGGGACAAGATAATATGTCATATCCACTTAAGAGGATTCACTTGGGTTAGCTACTGTACATAAAAAATAAGTACTGGAAACATAGAAGTAGAAAAGAAATTTGTTGTTTTGATGAGTAAATATAGGGCTTGTTATGTGACAGTTCTCTTATATAATGTCTGGCAATGCCATTGCCTTTGATTGGCTGACATGATAATTTAATTCTTAAAATTCTTAAATTCTCAAATTAGTCTTAAATTCTCAAATCTCTCAAAGAAAATCTGAGGATTTGGTTAGCTCTTTAGAGTGCTGCTTGTGATAAAGATTGTGATTGAGGGGCTGCTGTTAGCAAGAAACTGCTTGTTCAGTGCAGTTTGGGAAATTTTTTATTCATTAAAGATTTCAGTTTGTACAGTGACAAAGTAAAGGCATACTGATAAGTGGCAAGCCTGAATTTTAATTAATGCATACTTGTATGGCTTCCCCAGTTTTGTTGTCCTTTATAGCAAAAGGAAAGGGCAAAAGTATTGTGGAGGTAAGGAAGGACTAGTTTTCTAGGAAGACTGCTCACTTTCCATTCACTGAAGCCACCTCTGGGCTTGTGTATAGTTCCCTGTACACAGTTTTACTTGCTGTCATGTAAGACTACTCATGCTTCTGGAGGGCAGCAGACTTGCCCTTGCATAACTGCAGTGATGAGTGAAGTGTACATATATGCATACATAAAAAGATAAAGGGAGATAGCACTTCACATGCTATACATGCAGTACAAGGATGTGCTGCAGCAAGATAAAGGGTGAAACTTGCTTTCCTGCAGATGGTTTGCACCAACCCCTCCTTATCATTTATGGACACCTCCATCTTCTCAGAAACAAGTGGATGGAGTTGTGGTGCCACTTCAGCTGTGGCTGAATCTCTTCTGTACAAGTCCTGCTGCTTGCATAGGGGCTGTGGGGCTGCTGCCAAATGAGAAAAATCATGAAACATAGTTTTTCTGCTAGGATAGTGAAGTAAATGTGGTGAGTGAGGCTCAAGGCAACTGAGCTGTAAGCAGCCCTTACTCCTTGTGTGCATACAGGGTGGCTATCACTGGCCTCCTTGGGGCATGACAAGCCGGCAGTTGTGATTTCAAAACATCATAAATCTGTGGTGGGGTCAGCCCCTTCCACTTATTTTGGGACTCTTCTCAAACAGAATTGTCATGCACAGGCTATCCAGTTCTGCACTGGTGGAAAGGAGCCTAGAGTTCATAGACATAACAGTTGATAGAAAGAACACTTGTATTTCAAGGCTCAAAAATAAGATAGGAACTCTTAATCTCACAGATCCAGTTTGCATATTAAATTTTAGAGGAAAAATAAGTTTTTGCATCTCTCATTTGCTGCTTTTTGAAAGGTCCTGGGTGTAAGAGATGTGTAAAAGAGGCATTATGCCTCTCTGAGGGTTGCTATATTTTAACAGTTTTCTGCTTTTTATCTGTTTCTAAGATGGCAGAGCTTCCCAGTCCCTAGTAACTTGATAATTTTTTTCCATAAATATAAACAAATGATCCATGCCAACATACAAACAGACCTTTTTTGTAGCCACTTTAATTATAGGAAATACTGCAGTATGAAAGATTCTTTCCTTTAGCATAATGGGACAGAAGAATACAGACAAAATGTTACAGATTAAATAACTAGGGTTTAATGTGGGAAAACAACATTTTTTTCAACCACCATAATAACAGATTTTAAAACTGTTAATTTTTTTCCAGGAGTTGAATTATTTAGGTAAAATACAGACATCATTGTGCCTTTTTTTGTCATTTACAAGTTTTTCCAAAACTTACTTGGAAAGGTTCATCATGAGCATGAGTATCTAAGATCTTCCTTCTTAGTAATAAGGTGGTATTCATGAAAACTGAAAGTTATGAAAAGTATCTAAATACTTGTGGCTCCTTGTGACAGTATTTAGAGCCAAGAATGCTGTCATTGTATTTCTGGTAGCATGCCGCTTTAGTCAATGCTAGACTGTAACATACGAAGAATTTAGGAAAGCAGTGGCCATTTTTTTATTTTTTGTTTAAATCAATTTTGTGCTTCCAGTTAGAGGCAGGTTCTATTATTATGTGAAGTTTTGATACAACAAATGTGGTACTTGCTGAAATGTCACTTCAAACTTCATCTCATAAAGACACTGTACTAAGAAACTGTTCTCCTGTTTCAGTTGTATTAGTAAGGGTTTTGGTATCAACTGCTAAAACTTTACATGTTTAGGAGACTCACCAGGATTAAATATGTTGTAGATGGGTATTTCCTGGTCTGTGATTTTTTTTTTTGTTTGTTTGTTTGCTTGCTTTTTAATAAACTGCTTTTTTGGTAAAAAACCCAGTTTTTTAATAAAGCTTATCTCAGTAGAAATTTGTTCTGGTTAACTCACAGCTGGTCCCTATGTGAGTTTCAAAGATGAATCTAGGCAAGCTAAGGCATGATGGAAAGTGAG